TATATATATATAATATTAAATATATAAATTTCACATGAATGACATAATAATATACTATAAATATACAATTTAACCTCCCTTTTTGTTAACGCAACGTTTCATGCCTGCTTGTAATATTTTTCTTGCTTGGCACTTTTCCTTCTACCTAGATATAAAAATATTAATAACTTCCAAGATGACTGATTTAAATGTTATTAACAATCATTTTCATAATTAAAATAGTTTTCAACATATTAACTATTTAAATATTTATGCTAGTATTTAAAAACATTTAACTAGAACTCTAATAAGATGAGAGATAGACCTAAGAAGTACTTAACGATTAATAAAGCAAGAAATAGGAGGGTCACGCGTTCAATTATTGGCATCTTATGAAAATTTAATTTTTCATATGTATCCGTGGGCGCAATCATAGATGCTGAGGGTACTGCAGTACCTCCTAATTCTAATTCAGCATTCTCTGTATTAATTGTCAAAAATTATGTAATAATAACTTTTACTCTTTTTAAGAAAGATTTTTTATATCAATAGTTAATAATAAACAATTTGAAATTTCTTTGTAATTATTTTAATGAACAAAACTGTGATAATAAAGCCATCTGAAAAATGATATTAATATAATAGTATGAGTTTAAAAAAACAAAATAGTGTAATAATGGTATGGTTGAAACAAGTATAGATGATATCTGACAATGATTAACATGACTATCATAATAAATGCTTAGTTGCAGTATGTTAAATATCATAATAATTTGTTTATTTGTAATTATACAATTTTTATGTTTTAACATTTCACTTGATTATTTATTTACTTAATAGAAAATAATTTTTTGTAAAAATTGCATATATTTTTTACTCTTACTGACAGCCATTTTCTCATAGTAGAACAATCGTGGGATGGATTTTTCTTTATTATTGTAGTAAGCTATAAGCGCTTTAATTTTATATAAGTTAATTTGTCAGATGTTCTAATACATCTTCTAAAATCTAGTTTAAAAACAAAATATTTACATGTGCGGTATNCTTCTAAAATCTAGTTTAAAAACAAAATATTTACATGTGTGGTAGGTCTTCTTCATATACTACTTGTACTTCGGTTTTCATTCAATTTTTATACAAATCATACGATAAAAAGCCTTTGTTTCTAATAAAATTGTATTAGGGTCAGTGTTTTTAAACAAGTTATAGCAGTTTTTAAGAGCAAAAAAAAAATTTTAATTGGCATTTTTTACAGTAACTTAATTTTAAGATAATTTTTTTATTTCTATAATTGAGGGCTTGTGAAAATTTAGGTACTTATAGGTTGATCAAGTATTAGGGCCGCCCTGAAGTAATACCTAACGGTAGTTCCAGGACGGCCCACAACTAAGCTGATCGGAGAAAAAAAAAAAAAAAGGTTGAACGAGTATTAAAAATAAGTTCTTTTATCTATATACTAAAAATATTTGTATAGTTTTTAAATTTGAACCCTTAAAACATACTGTTTTTAGTACAATTTTTAAAAATCCAATTAATATTTTATATTTAAGAGTATTTTATTAAAAATTAAAAAATAATACTACGTAAATGTAATTCTGACATAGTTAAACAAAACACGATATTAGGACAAGTCTAATATTTTGTCATTATATGCAAAATTTTAGGTGCTTTTTTTTTTATCGTCTTATTTTCTGGATTAAACCCTTATAGACCAAGCTTTGAGCAATGATATTAATATGTTATATATTTTGGAACAATTATGTTATTTATAGTAAAAATATTCCACTAAACTTGAAATAATAAGAAAAAACCTAGTTTAGTCGATACTCAGCATAATTAACTAAGTGCAGATGAAAGTGATTAACATTACTATCATAAAATGCTTCAATGAAATTTTTTATAAAGAAAAACTTTAAAATTATAACAGAATATTTAGGCTTTGAAGTAACTTTTTTGAAGACATTTTTCATTCATTAATCAGAAACGACATTTAAGAAGCTTTAATTTATTGTAGATTTCAATTTTTCAGACGTCAAACAAAATACAAAACACTTTTTTTGGAAAAATGAGATTTTTTACATTGTTAACCAGTTTTATATAATGGAACAATCGTCGGGACATATTTAATATTAGAGTTCATTTCAAAATCTATAATTTGATATAGTTTATAAATTTTGATGTGTTCTTATATATTTTTAAAAAATCGAGTTGAAAAAAAAATTAAACTCTTTCTATTCAAATCGTTCCGGTATATAAGTTTTTAATTGAGTTTTCATAAAAAACATACCAAAAACAGATTATTAACTACGTTTATAAGGAGCCGCTAAAACGTTTTAAAGTGAATTCATTTAAAAATAAAAACGATGTGTCATGTAAATGAAACCATTTAAATGTTTTCTATATAAAACTTTAGTTTTAGGTGGTTTGAAATTAAAATATGTTTTCATTATTTTAAAACTAGTTTAAATTGATCATGTAAGCAGGGACTAATTATTGATTGTTTAATTTAACCAGTATTTGTTTAAAACGTTGTTATATGTCATACAAAGTCGGTTTTGAAAATCTGTATTTAAATCCTAATTTTTTTTATTTATTTAAACCATTCTAAATTAGTTTGTTCTTCTTTCAGATGATTTTTTTTATTTGCTACTTCATCTTCTAGGCGTCATATTCTAATCTATAAAATAAGAATTGAAAAATTTCAACTTAGTAAAATGAACAGGAATAACCTGTTCACCATAAAAAATATTTAAAAAAGTATTATTTCTAGCAGCTATTACTTTTCAGGAGGAATATGTCCTTCCCTGATTTCCAAAATTGGCGATTACGTAATCAATCATACATTATATTCTAATATTTTTCAACTATTATACAAACAATATCTCTTTTTTCCTCCCCTTAATCCGAAGTACTTAGGATTGACCACCCTTATCCTAAACTTCAACTTGCCACGATCTACCACATCATCTATACTCACAACAGATGTCCTCATATTGCATTCAATAAGATCTCCTATCTCTTTTTTGATCTTCCTCTACCTCTCCTATACACCTATACTCCCTCTTATATGTTTGTTCCTTATCCTATCTTCACTAGTCACTCCACTCATCCATCTAAGCATTCTCATCTCTGCTCTATTCTCTTGTCAACCGCCCAACACATTTAACCATACATCATAGCTGGTCCAACACAGTCGTATAGATCTAACCTTTTAGACTCATTGAAATTCTCCTATCGCATAACAAACCAGACGCTTCTCTCTACTTCAACCATCCGCACTTATATCTGTGCCTTACATCCTCGTCAATACCACCGCGCTTTTGCACAACTGATCCTAAATACTTAAAACTTTCCACCTCTCCAATTACGTCCTCGCTTATTGTCACTGATCTTCTCATTTCACCTAACTCGTGTTCACTTTTTCAAACTCGTACTCTATAAACTTTATCATACCCTTACTTATTTTTAAACCCCTTTTTTTCAAGAGCTGATCTCAATACTTCTAGCCTTTGACTAATTTTCTCCTATTAACCTTATATCGTCAGCAAACAACTTGCACCACGGAACCTCTCCTAGTATATCTCTAGTAATTTCATCCGTCACTATAGAAAATAAGTATGGACTTAAAGCTTTATGCCTCTATAAATTCCACACTCCTGTATGTCTCTTATACCTTTTAGCTTCGATGCGAAGCTGAGAATGTATTGGTTTTACTATGATGTGTTTATTTTTTTTTTTTTTTTTTGTGTCTGTTACCACTTTTTCTCAGCTCTCACCGAACGGATTTCTTTCAACGATACGTCAAAAGATCACAAATCGTATCTAGTCGAAGACATTACCCTTCAAAATTGAAAAAATTTCCCTCGTTCCCCGTAAATGGGGGAAACCTCCAAAAAAATTACAAATTTAAAAATCGCTAATTTTCGAAATTTTTTCAATTTTTTTTACTAAAAACTGCCGTAACTTTTTCAAAAATGAACATATCAATATAATTTTTTTTATAGATGCTTGATGTCTTTACCTATAATATGGTATTTTTTTTTGTAAATTTTATCCTACCTACCCACAGGGGGGGATTTAAAATGACAACTTTTTAACAAAAAATTTACTTTTTTAACTTAACTTTTGAAAGTGTTCCGGAAATACTGACACTTTTATATATATCTTAAATTAAAGCTAATGTAATATACTTTATTATGGAAAAAAAAAATTGACCTCTGGACTTGTCTTCGTGGTGAAAATAGACATCAAAGTTAATAAAAAATTACGATTTTTGTAAAATAATTTTTTTTATATTTTTAACTTAATAATGCTCTAACTTTTTCAAAAATGAACATATCAATATAATTTTTTTTTTTATAGATGCTTGATGTCTTTACTTATCATTTGGTATATTTTTTTGTAAATCTGACACTTAACCTGCCCATAGGGGGGGATTTAAAATGACAACTTTTTCACAAAAAATTAACTTTTTCAACTTAACTTTTGAAAATG